GCTTTGACATCTAAAGTCTCCGCGAAGACAAAACTGCACAGTCTGAGGCTCAAGCAGCATTCATCTATGCATTCATCTATGCAGAGAGCGGGTTTAATTGGTTCACACCTCAGTTACTGCTGTTTTTAAAACGAACACGAAACGGGGCAAACATTCGGAAGTCGACACCTCTGGCATAATGGCTTCAGTCTTCGACGGCGGGGAGCGGTGGGCGCTGACCGGATTGCAGGCCACCTATTCGGTGGAGATCTGTTAGTCTGCATGCCACAACAGAACGAAGATTGTTGCTGGAAGTTTGTTGGAGGAATGAGAAGCTGGCTGCTTCACGTGTTTGGCAGCCAGGGCCCTAAATTTCGGAAAACACAATGGCGAGCATCAGTGTGACACCCCGGGCGAAATAACAGTAACAGAATATGAACACGGCTCAACGAGTTCTTTCTTCACCAAATTAAGTACTACACAAGCAGAGTGCGACATACAATATCGCGAGTGCCGCATTCAAAAACTATCACGAAATTTAACTTGCTAGTGCAACATATAACCAACTTAATACCGATAAACACAGGGGACATCCATGAAGGCCTTTTCATCCTCATTAGGCGTTTTGCATGCAGCACTCGCAATACTGTACACAGCTTGAGGCAGCCGAGTAAACGTCCAAAGTATAAAATATCCTTGACCGGTAACGGAACCTTACCTTTAGAAAGAGGGAAGCCTTCCGGTTTCAACTATTGCACATGGAACGATGCCAGAGATTGCGTCTCCTCGAATGACGCTGGGGAGTGGCCTATAACCGCCCTTCTCTGTGGAGCAGCAAGAGTTCACGAATATCTGTAAAGAGAATCTTGAACATGTTAATGACAGAACAGCAGTGAGAATAAAATTTGGAAAAAAGGGAATGCATCTCTACGCTAAGACTACAAACTCGTCAAGGACTGCACACAGACCTGTAGTGGTCGCTGCCGGCCGCCGCCCTCCATTGCATTGTCCGGCGTCATTCTTCAAGGCCAGCTGTATCCAATACCTCAGTCAGCGCTTACATACGCGCTCATCTGCAGAGACTTCACCTTCTTACATTCGGGGACACAGACACGTGCGTCTAGGTTCTCGCGGCTGCCCAAACACTACTCCAACATGTCCCTTATCCCCCACCCTCGGCCGCTTGACATCACTTAGGACACTGGCGCTCCAGCGGAATGACGTCTGCTCCGAAATCAAAACCCTTTCCACCTATTCTTCTTTCCTTTGTCTACACAAGAAACTTTTCCTACTACTCTGACCTCCTCTGACTTCTTCACTTCTAAGTAACCATGGTCTAAAGATCGCAGTTGCTAGGGTTTAACTCGCTTAACCCCCTGCGATTAACGCCTACTGCCACGAAACAGAAATATGACAGTGATTGACTCCATACCGCCGCCCACAGCAGAACGTATCACCACAAATGGTCTGCTGGCTAGCGATTCACCACCAAGCGTTCGCAAGCAAATGGCAAAACTACGACATGCCGATACAGAGTTGAGAGCCAAAAAAACAACTAAGGGCACACTTACAGCAACATTGACCGAATGCCAAGACGAAGGAGTAGGCGGACATTCATACCACTCACGAGT